ACATACATACATACATATATGGCACGGTAAGCGTTTCAATAATTTGTCGCTGCATTCAAATCAAGCATTGTAATAACATTCCGAATGCCACAAACAGGGTAAACGAGTCAATAAATTTGCCACAAAGGGACGCCAAAGTGGAACCGATGGAGCAGACGTCAGAGGATACGGACTGCTAGAATCCTGCCTGCAAGTTTTCAGGCAATAAGTAAATAAGCTGCGTAAAATCAAAAGGACGCACTTGTAGCCCTGCCTTTCTTTATTGTAGTTGTTGCTGTTGCCATGGCTTCTGCTGCTGCTGCTGCTGTTGCTGTTGCTGCTTGGCTATTGTTATGGGAGCCAGGAAAGCAAATACCTGCCACAATAGCTGCTCGATGTCGTCGTTGCCGTAAAACCCTAAAATATGGAGCAAATAAACAAATATTCAGCCAAGACCCTTGCTGCAACAGCAGCAGCAACTGCCGTTGTTGTTGTTGTTGTTGCTGTTGTTGTGGCAGTCAAAGAGAAAATGCTACCAAAGGCACTAAAATGCGCCACGTGAGCTGAAGTTCAATTTTTGTAGCGAGTGTCAGGGCAAACGGACTCTCGAAAGGAAGCTGGATGCTGGTCCGGCATGTAATTGTCTGTGACCGTTGCTAGCAACAAGAATCGGCCATGGCCCCAAAACGTAATGTATAATATATGGCCGGTGTATCGGATGCGATTCAGGGCAATGGAGAGAAACGAATGCTCCAACACATTTCAAAATGAAAATCCCAACCAAATGCCACTTGACGCAATAAACCAAACGCAAGGGCATCAAAATCTACCCAATTTTCACAAGCAAAACTTGAAATGCACTTACGGAACTTCAGATGGAATAGCTGATTGAAATCGAACTACGCTGAATTGTGGATTGAATTTGAGGAATAACAACTGCTCGATGTGAAACTAAGATTAGTTATATTTGAAGATATGATTTGAGTTGAGATAGAAGCTAGATCTTACTCCTAAATGGTATATGAAAAATATTGTATTATTATTGTTTCGTTTTCTTATTTGCCACTCAAAATTGAATTTCTTTTTTTGTTTTACCACTGCTGCAGCACAAATCTCATTCGAATTTCTTTTCAGTTTCTCGTTCTCAAGTTGAGCTAGAAAATCCGAATGCTCCGTGGACAGAGCATGCTGGGAAAATGTCAAAGGCTTTACAAATCGAATGCAATTTTGGTTCTCGGCTCCCCCGTTAGCTCAATGCAATGCGGCAGCTCAGTGTAAATTGAAGTTTACACATTTCGAAGGTGGAAATTGAAAATTGCGAATGAAAGGCATTCACACATCGACACGGTGAAAATGTAAAGTAGCAAATGTTAGAAGCAGGCAGCAGAGACAGAAGCAGGTGAGACAACAAAGGTGAGTGGAAAATCAAGAAAGACAGAAAAAAAAAAAGAAAACGAAATAGAGCAGTGATGTAAACTCAGTTTCGGTTTTCAGTTTTCAGTTTTCACATTTATTGTGTTTATGCAACGCGTATGCAACGCTCACTTCACACTGCCTTGATGGGAGCCAAGGAGCAGCCAGGACTCAATTGGACATACATGTGTTGTACTACATTCGCTGGAGTAGCAGCAAGGATTGTGACTAGGGAAACGGGCTTGCTGACTGACTGGCTGACTGACGGACGGACGGACGGACGGGCGGACGAACGGACGGACATGGCATGTCAGTTGTCGACGACTCAACGTCGCGTTCTGTTTCAGTTCGTTAGCTTTGCATTTTTACAATCACTTTGGCAGTCAGCAACATCTGACTAAGACTAGTAGTGGTAGCTCTCTCATCCTCCCTCTCCCGTTCTTTTTTCGGGTGGACATTTTATTTACAGGATATGCGTGTGCACCAAGCTACTACAATTCCAGGCGAGTGCGTTTATTTTCGTGCAGCTGGAAATAAAATGTTGGTTTTATTTGCTGCCTGCAGCAGCTGCAGTCCAGCTACGGTCAAGTGGTTAACGTTCTTGGCTCAGTGAATGCTTCAAATAGTGCAAATGTGAAATCATTTCGATTGGCCTGAAACCAAGCACTGACTGCTAAATGCTCTTGCACATCTAATAGTTGTTGATTGCAGCAGTTAAGCATCTCATCCTTCATACGAGCTAGGGCGCTGATTGCTGCACAGTAAGCAGAAATCGATGGGAACTTTGACTAAGGCCAGTCGATGATCTGAATTGCGGCAATAACCAATTTTTGCAACATGATTTGAGCTAAAGCTGCCTTAAATGCTCAGTGCTTTAGCAAATATGACCCACAAACTGTTTATTAACTGGGCTATCGAATACTTTTCTCGATTTGCCAATTTCCATTCAAGCTCGAGCATACTCCACGCACTCACACACCCTTACTGTGTTGGAGCGATTAAAAACTGTGCTTGCTGCAACGTTATAAAGTTTGCTTGCAATTCCTGCTGCACTTTTCGCTCGCCCAACTGAGTTTTGCAGTCGATTTTCGTTTTGTTTGCATTTCTGCTGCATTCAAGAGCTGTTGGCGTGCCGCTAGTGCCTGCTGCTGTTTAGAGTGCGTGCATTCGGCTAAACATATGGGGTTCTCTTATCACAATTTAGCACTGACTGCAAGTATATACAGTGTATACCGTATATCTATATATATATTTATATCCTTTCTTTCTTTTTTGTTGAGGGGGCGCATGCATTTCCGCTCGTAAATTTCGAGCAAAAAGTTTTCTTCCTGTGCATGATTTTTATGGCCATGTGATTTATTGACATTTCCATTAACGGCTGCATAAATGTTTCAACGCGCGATGCCGGAAGCGATTTCTTGTTTGTTTCGCCGCGGTTTTCCTTTTAGAGCTCCAAACAAATGCCAAAAATAAAAACATAAGATTTGAGCGGGTGTATATATAGG